GAAATCCAACCAGAATCCTAAGTACACTTGCCATGCGCTCTCCTTCTGTAAAGAACCTGCCACACACAACAGTGCAGCTACTTTCTGCCCACCATGGCTTAACATGCCTGTTTTCTTGGACTCCAAAGACATGACTACCTCTTCTTTGTCACTGTTGGGCAGCTATCAAAACTACAGTTTGTCTTCCTTGTTGTTTTCTCCAAAAGAATGCAACTTCATCTTCTCAGTTCATTTTTAAATCATTTTATCAATGAGACTAACAACCCACAAAAGGAACCTGAACTCCCTTGTAGCATGCTGAAAAGGAAAAAAAAAAAAAAAGTAACCTCTCTGAACGACAGAACTGAGTCAAGTATGACTGAGGTGTGCTCCAGATAGCTGAAATCTCATCTGAAGATATGATCTGACCTTCTCCCGGCTTCACCTTTCTCTCTTGTCCAGGTCTACAAGTATTTACTTTGCCACCCTGCCTCACTGGGAGCAGGAAGGCATCTCTGGGTTTTAATTGTTTTTTTCATCCCAGGTTCTCTCCCATCAGGTAAGGCCAGACATGGAATATACTGGTAACAGCCTTCTTTCTTGTCACTGAGTCGGATGTGGGGTCAGGGTGGGGTGCTGATGGCTACATTCTGGGATGTAAATAGGTAGTAACTTCCTTCTCCTCCTCCTGAAGCCTGGACCAGGGAAAGTTCTTTACTAAAATTTTAAAGAAAAAGGAAGAAAAAAACCAGCCATCAGGGGTAAGTTCAAGGGCCTCTTCCCAAAGGACACAGCACCCTAGCATTGTCTTGGATCCTGCTCATTGTGTTCGTGTCTGGGTGCACAATCCCAATTTCTTTGGGAAAAGGATTTTCCAGTGGAAACACTGTGCAAGGTTGTTGAGGCTTAAAATCTGGCTATGTTTTAACTAAGAAACTGTGTTGCAACTTAAGTTTCTGAAAGACATAAATGCCCAGCCAACATAGAGTATTACAGATTTGTCTCTTCTCAGGACATTGTCCATGGGGTCCACAACAGGGAATGATCTCTCCCTTTCAGTTCCTTCATGTGCTACAATGCAGCAGGACAGGTGCATGCTGGGAACACTTTCCCATCCCTCCTAGTTTTTTCATGAACTCCTTCCACATAAGCAGCCTTTAAAAACAAGGACATAGGCAAGCTAAGAGGATAACAAATATTAGACCCTAGTGACATCTTTCAGTGTCCATCATTCCATTTGTATTGCTTTGTCTTTGTCATAGTAAGGCATGGACTCTCTTCCCTTGGGACAAAACATAGAAGCCCTTGATCCTTACTTTGCTACTTTGAAATTATATACATCAGGTCACTTGCTCTGACCTAACGCGTTCTTCTGTCCTCTATCATCTGCACTTCTTTCAACATTCTTATCTTACATGTTCCCATAGTACCGTCCATCGAGCTCTGAGAAATCAATAGCATTTCCAACCAAAGATTCAAAACACTCCATCCTACTCCCACAAAACCAAAAACAGGATAAAAGTCATATAGGTCTTTCACAGCAAGATCCCACTCTCTGGTAGAAATTCCTGTTTTTGTTTTTGTTTTTTTTTTTTTTGTTTGTTTGTTTGTTTGCTTCTCTGCTGCTGTGATAAAACACTGACCGAAAGCAACTTGAGGAGAAAAAGGTTTATTGGCTTATAGGTTTCAGACTATCATGAAGGGAAGCCAAGGCAAAAACTCAAATTGGAACCTAGAAGAAGGAAATAAAACAGAGACCGCATATTAACGGTGCTTGCTTTCCACAACTATCCTTCCAGCTCTCTTTTGTATAAAACCCTGACCCACTGACACAGGAATGACACTGCCCACAGCAGTCGGAACCTTCCCACACCAACCGTTAACAACACGCCCCACAAACTTGCCCACAGGCAAATGTGAGGAAAGCAATTTCTCAGCGGAGGCTCCCTCTGGCCAGGTGGCTTTAGTTTGTGTTAAGTTGGCAGAAACCAACAACCAGTCTGTTTTGTTAAAACACAAAAGGCAGTAAGATGTACTCTGCACCCATGTTTTAATTCCATACTGGAATATCTCAACTTCTGGGTGTCTTAACAACTGAACTTAAATGCCAAAGCCAATGAAGATACAGGTAGTAGTATCAAAATATTACCTCCTGCCTGAGTTCACTAAGTACAAGGGAACCATGGGACACTTCTCAAGAGTCCTGCAATTCTGATACATTACCTGTTTTTTGTTGTTTGTTTTGTTGTTTTTCCTGACTGAAGAGGCCATCTAGTTTCATAGGTTGAACCCTACCTAACAGTGCACATTCAGTAATGGGAGGATCAGCACAAAGGGAAGGCACATAGTCAGCCAGATACTGAGTAGCTCCTTTATTTCTCCTCTATCAGTTGTATCATCTGCTGGAATCCGCTGGTATCTAACTGACCATATATGCCTTCACTTGGAAGCACTGAAGGCATTCCCTACACATCATTTTTATGGGAGACCTCAGCATTCCCAATTATACTATGAATTCAAGGATACGTACTCTCTCAACTCTTTTTCAATAGAGCACTCAAAGTCTTAGCTACAGCAAAAGGGATGAATAAGAGAAACAAGTAGCAAAGTAAAACATCAAGGCTTAAAAGTTTATTTTGCTAAAAAGCCTTGCCTCTTACTTGGCCCTTTTAAATCACTTTGGAAGAGCACAACAACAGAAGTTTAAGAGAGAGGCATCAATAGCACCGTATCCCCAGATAGGAGCAACTACTGGTGAGGACAAGGCCAAAACTGAAGAAGTAATCATCTTTTAATGACTTCTTTGGGACTCCTCCCAGGACCACACTGTAGCCAGGCCTTCTCAGTTATTCCTACGTCATACTCCTTGTCGGAATTTTGCTCAATCCAAAGCTTAAGTCAATAAAGATGAGACAGGCATGGCGTTACTAGGTCAGTTTGTTCTTGTCTCCTATGCAGCCACACTGAATAAATGCAACCTAATTTCATCAATGTTCTTTTCCTTAACTGAGGTGTTTTGATTGGGACTGTACCTCATCACTGAGGTCAATGGAGTCAGAACTTCTGCCCTAACCACTGTGGCTAAACGCCTGTATGCAGTATGATTGTTTAACTCAAAAATAAGAAAAAAAGAAAAAAAAAAAAAACAGTCCACTAAATAATGCTGTGTAATGATGTGATTTGTTTATTTAAAATGATTTCCCTCCCAAGTTGCCCAATGATTTAGCAGGCTTTCTTTCACTTTCATCTCAAACAATCAACACACTTTCTGTATTTTATTTTTACCATGTTTGCTATTTTGACATTTGTTTAAAATCAGAGTCCAGTATGTTGACCAGTGAGAAGAACAGATTCAAGTTACACCCTTGGCATGGCATTGTTGCCGGACTCTTGGGACTTCAATGGTGGTGGATGCTCCTTCAGGCCCTGTCTGCAATCTGCTGCAAGACTTAAAGCACCACACAGCACCACTCAAGGCTTTGCTGTCTTCAAAAGATAAAACTAAATGTATTTTTGTCTGTAGGTTAGTTCATGAGGCTATTTCCCATAATTTTCATATACTTTCTTTTATGTTCAGTTCTTACTTTATGACCCAGATGGGCTTCAAACTCATTCTGTAATCCCAGATGGCCTTAAGTTTGTGCTATTTCTCCTGCCTCAGCTTCTCCAGAGCTGATTACAGGCATGAGCCATCACATATGGCTTCCTTTCTCTTGCATTTTTGTATTGCTTCTTTCTGAGTTTTTTTTTCTTCATTTTCTTCCATTTACTTTTATTTCATCTGTATTTACTACTCCATTACCTATAAAACATAACTTTCCACATTCAAACAAACACAACTTCATTAAAAATATGCACAAATCCATCTATTCTTAATCTAATGCATCTGAGTAAATAGATATGACCGCTTTCCTTGAATTTTCACTTATCCCTACCTTTAAAAGTCAACCATAAAGTCACACCTGAAAAATAAGTGAATTTAAAAGGACAAAATACACATTTCAGAGACAATAATGCAATGATCAAGATAATCTACTGTACAATTTGTCAAAGTCAACAGAAGACAGCGTGAAAACACCCATCTTCAAATAGATCATTAACAACTCTCCTAAATAACAAGATCATTGAAGAATATTTATTTTCAGACAACTGTACATCAGCTCCAAGAAAAAAAAAATATGTAGAGGGACAGGATGGGGAAATAAAATAAAAACTCTTCTCAGATAAAACCTCATGTGTATCAGCAATTCAAGATTAAACTTCTGAAACAATTTTTTTAACAGAACAAAAGAGTATGCTGGTCTGAGGATATATGTCAGTTGTAGAGTGCTTGTTTAGCATGCATGAGGTTCTGGTCCTGGGCTTAATCCCAGCACCACCACAGGGAGGGTAGAAGGTGTCTTTCCCTTTTTGCATAGAAACATGATAGGGCATTTCTTAACAACAGTTTACTAATTATATTAAGAAAAATTGGACACACCCATTCTACCAAGAGCCAAATAAATTTTTTCCATCACACTGTCTCTACTAAAACATTATCAATCATTTGGTTCAATTTCATGTTTAAACTTTTTTAACTGATTCATCAATGCAGAATTATTGGAGCTGAGTTATTTAAAACTATTTAAATAATCATGATTGTGTTTCGTGAGGCAAATCTGAGTAGTTGCTCTAACAGTGATGTGTTGGGAATAAGTGAGACAGACCCTTGAAAATTTTCCTTTAAAAGCACATAATCTGTGTGATGTTAAATAATAAGGAGGTCACATCTCACAGCTTTACAGGGGATAATTGTGTACAGGCCTTACTAGGAGAAAAGAACCAGTAACTAACGCACTGCCTGTTTTATCAGATACCCTACATAGCTTAAGAAGGTAATGTTAAGCAAAAAGTGAAATCATTATCATTTTACAAAAGAAAGAAAGAGAGAGAGAGAGAAAGAAAAGAAAGAAAGAAAGAAAGAAAGAAAGAAAGAAAGAAAGAAAGAAAGAAAGAAAGAAAGAAA